TTTTCCCCTTGTGTTATTGCCTTAACCTTAGCCAAATTGGTAGGGCGGCGAGCTGCCGCCCGGAGGCCTGCCATAAGAGTCTGGCAGTAGACCCGGAGATGCTCCCTTCCTTCTACATTCCCATAATCCCAGTCGGGTCTGTTTAAATGATCATCAATCAGGTTCGGCAGGGTGATCGGTCGTCCATTTTCGCCGGGGATGTTCTTTCTGGCTTCAGTGAGAATCTGCTCCCGTTCCTCAGTGGTGAACAGAGTCCCAATGAGCTGCTGACAGTCATCCCAGGCGGGACTGTTGAGTATGCAAAATGGACTCGAACAAATCAGTCAGGCCTCTAGGGTCCTCAGAAAAAGGAGGATTCTGAGCTTTCCAGTTATACAGGTCACTACTTGAAAATGGCCATCAGGACCAGCACCACCCAGGGCCCGCACCGGAAGGATGGGGGGCCCGGTGGAAGTGGAGGAGGGCTCCTCCTCTGGGGCTTCTTCTCACTGCCTATGGGGTCTGAGTCCCCTCACTGGTCCGGAGACTGGGGTAGGGGTTGCAGATGGGGAGGCTGATGAGTGGGGAGGCTCGGGGGGGCAGCTGCCTCTGGCTGGAGCGGCGCGGCAGCAGCATATGGCAGGGGGTTTACTTCAAAAATCTAAGTCTATCAAGGACGGATGGAGAGTTGGTTCTTCCTGCAGAATAGGCTTCTTAGGGGAATTAACGGGAGTGGGGTGCTCCCTGACATGGCCAGTATCGTGGGCCGGTCTGTAGGTGATTCATGGATAAAGGGCCGCAGCCAGGAAGGAGGGTCTTCTACTAAAATCTGCCAGATAAGGATGTAGGGATATTGATCAGGGTGGCCATGAAGACCAGGTCTATTAATGACATCTCGGACCTTCTTAATCGTGTCCAAGGAGAAGGTACCTTGAGGAGGCCAGCCTACATTAAAGGTTGGCCATTCCGCTGAGCAAAGGGTGTCAAATTACCTTTCTTAATCTCCATGCCATAATTGTGTCCCTTAGCGTGGATTTCTGAAAAATGACTCAGAAAAAGAGTCTTAGGAGTTACCTGAGCCTGTCCCATGATGATCAGGAGAGATGGACAGAGGAGACAACAAAGAACAAGAGAGAGAATTCCAGCAGACAAACAAATTCTCACAGGACTCTTCAACAAGCACAAGTACCGGCTGGTCAACCAGACTACTCTCACAGGCGCAATTCCATTCACACCAGATTCAGGATCCTTACCCAAAGACCACCCAAATGGCATCCACTGAGGACGTCGGCATGGTTCCTGACTGTCGGGGATGTCTCCCACGACTTCCAATAGTGGAGCCTCCAGGGCTGTAACCCCTTCCTTCCACTCAACGAGAATTCTCAACCAAATCCAGACGGGGATTCTAATTCCCTCCAAACGGAGGTGGCCAATCCTCCTTCCACGGTCTTTCTCAATTAAACCTTGGTATCGGAGGCCGTTTGTTCCTCTCAGGGAGGGGCCAATCTCACTGGGGCCTCCAGATGTTGGGGTCCGAGGCCAGCCACCTTCCGAGAGGACAAAAGACACTCACGACAATGTAAGCCACAGAGCGAGGTTTATTTCCAGCTAGCAGGGGTCCAAGTATCCACCCGACACAGCGGGGTTTCAACAAGGACCCTGAATGCAAAGTTCAAGCAGATTTTATACTCTCTTAAGCATCAATCATAGTCACACGGGAATTTCCATGGCCCTTGGGGTCACATATTTCTGACATCGCCCACATCCTGGTGGTGGGGTAAGATTACTTAAAGATTACTTATTAGGAACTGAAAAAACACCAGATGTTTGCTTATCAGGAACTTGAGAAACACCAGATGTCTTAACATATTGATTCACATATTGTTTATCAAGATCAACCAGAAAACAGTTCCTGTTCCCAGAAACCATTCCACCTCCCTTTGTTCCAGTAAATGGGGCTCGAGGTTACCCAGGGGTCATGCTAGTCATGGCCGTTTTCAGACTAAGTGGGCTGCAAGTCAAAGGTACCCTAACAGCACCACAGCATCTACCAGGAGACCATGATACCCTTTCAGAAGTTAAGGAAGTAAGCCCATCCATGCAGCCCGGCTCAGGGACTTCAGAGCCAGAGTATCCACCTCCTGCCCACTATGCATCAGGCCTCCTGCTCCACAATTTGGAACCAGAGCTAGGTTTTGCCATTTACTCAGTGGGTCACTTACCCTTTAAAAGCCTCAGTTTCTTTCTCGGTAAAACTGAAGATAACTTGGTTAAAGGTCTTTAATAGCTCCTCCTATTCAATTATTGGTCATTAGCCTTGCTTGTGGATGGTTTACACAGAACTGTCTTGCTTGGAGGTTGGAGGGAACTTCTTACCCTGACCCTTCTTTTGTTTCCTGGACTAATTAATGATTAAACATACTTTCCCTTTCAGACACCATTTAATTTTAAGAGCCTCTCACTGCCAAGAGCACCAAATAATCGAGCCTTCAGTCTGGCAGTCATTTTCTGGATATTAGTGGACATTTGTCTGGATCTCCTTTTCTTGATACTTATGATTGCAAAGACAAGCTCATTACTAACCTCACTTATATGCTTCAAACAAAACTGCACTTTTCACTTGTTTAAGTTAACGGCTCTATAACAGACACTAGTTACTAAAGTGTATATACAACACCAATTCCTATAAGTTACTTAATATCTGTTTTGCAAAGTTTAGTCCTGTGGACCTAGAAGCTGGGAACAAATTTTCTAAAACAGCTGAACAAACTTCTGGATTTAAGAGCAGAACTCTTATTAGTGTTGTTTTCATTAAGTATGGATTATTATGAAAGAAAAGTTTGTAATAGAATATAACGTAAATTCAACCAGAAAGGCTGAACTCTGACTGTCCCTAGGTATGAAACCTAAAGAAATCAGTTTTGAATTTAGGAAAATTCAAAAACTGTAGTCAAATATTCAACCTTAAAGATGTAAAATGAATGGCTGGGGAGACTGTTAATTTTTTTTTTTTTTCCAGTACTAGGGAATTGAAGTCAGAGCCTCACTCTTGGTAGGCAGGTACTTTACCACTTTACCAAGTCCCAGCTCAGCACTTTTCACTTTTGTTATTTTTCTAATAGGATCTCACTTTTTGCCCAGGCCTGCCTGGACTGCAATACTATTTTAGACTTCCTGATATAACTGGGATGACAGGCATAAACCATCACACCCAACTTTTTTCTGTTGAGATGGGATCTCACAAACTTTTTTTGCCCAGGCTGGTCTGGAACTGTGACCCTCCTATCCCAGCCTCCCAAGAAGCTAGAATTACAGGCTGGAGCCACAGCTCTTGGCTGTATTTAAAAATTTTTAATACAGCATTGACAAGAGTCCCTTAATGCTCCTTCAAAATGAACATCTAAAAAGGAGCTATATTATCCCAATCCTATTTCAAAGCCCTCGGCAATTTCCACTTTTTAAGTGAATCTATCTTCCATCCCCTGCAAATTGTCAATAATCTACCTCTGAAAATAACGTACATTTTCTTTAAGGTAGAACATCCATTACATCCTAATATGCAAAAGCAGTGAGCCTATCAGAGTCATTTATTCTAACAATTATTGAGTACAGTTTGTGTCTTGAACTATTCTAGGCACTAGAGAAAAATGGAAAATTTCCTATCCTTGAGGAGCTTACATTCTATCTGATGATACATTCAGTAATAAAATAGCCTCTCTAATGAGGTGGCTTGAAAGAAGTAGTAGCTAGGAAAAGATGTGTGTGAGGAGAGTTCCAGGCAGCAGGAACAGCTAGGGTTGCGAAAGGACCTGATGCCAGAGCAAACATGGGTAATGATAAGACCAGTTAGACTATTATTATTTCTCCCCTTGGATAAAAACTTAAATTCATTAGCGCCTGTATTGCCCCAGCCGTTAACAAAAGATATGTTCAAAAGGACTTGTTAAATTTTTAAAAAATGGACTGTTAGCTATTTCCCTAATGATTAGACAATAATGTACTGGTGTATAGTCTGATTTTTGCAGATCCTTCAATAGTCAAGGCATCTCCCTGTTAAACCAAAAAATCCTTAGCGATCCTTATTTTCACAGTGAAAAAATGGCACCCAGTATTTGAAAACTAAGCTCTTTCCCAACCCTACTTTTTGGCAGATGCTAGTTAATACCCTGGCAATGAAGACATTTTTTTCAAGTATGTCTTTTTTTTTAAAAGTATGTCTTTGAGACTGAGAACACCACTCTCAATCTCAGCCCTTTTGGTCTGCTTTATTTCTTCGAAGTTTACATGTTTTGAGATTAATTTTTATTTTGTTATTGAATATATCCTCAACTAGAGTATAAGCTCCTTGCGGAGAGGAAATTTTCCATTCTTCTCCAGTGCCTTTAACAGTGAAGTCACAGGGGTGCACTCGACAGTTAGGCTCATGGATTCTGCATATTAGGGTGTAGTTGGTGGCTCTGCCTTAAGGCGAGCTCCTCGGTGCAGGGCAGGCGGAAAATCAAGAAAGTCCCCTCCCCGAGTCCTGTCCAGCACGTAGTAGGCTGGCAGCTGGCACTGAGGTGCAAACACAAGGACGACAGCACGTGGGCTGGACCTGCGGCAGACTGGCCAGGCGACGCGGGGGGGGGTGCGCGGGTTTTGGGAGAAAAGCTGGCTTTCTCTCTGAGAGGGAGAAGAGTTTAGAGAGCGTCCGGGGCAAGGCAAAGAACGGGAGGTGTGGGAAGAGGACCCCGGCTGACAGCGCCAACGCGGCGGGGCGGGGGGAGGAGAGGCTGGCGCCGCGCGCGCTAACGACAGCCGGGCCGCAGACGGCCGGGAATCTGGAACGAGGAGCCGGAAGCGGGGAGCGGCGCCCGCGGGCCGAAGCGCAGACCCCACAGGCTCGGCGGCGCTCCCGCGAGCACTATAGTTTCCGAGGCGCCGCGCGCGGACTCAGACCGCCTTCCCAGCCCGCACCTCCAGAGGTGGGGGGGAGGCGGCGAGGCTGGCGGCAGAGCTCCGGAGGGAGGCCGCGCACTTACCCGAAGTCTGGAAGCGCGGACGCGGTGCGGGTCGAGCGGCGAAAAGGCCAGCGCTCGGCTTGGGGCACAAGAGTGGGGCAGTGCGGAAAGCCACTCGGAGGAGGGTGCAGCGAGATCTAACCCGCATAAGCTGCGCGATCCGCGCGGGTCAGACGCGCACTGGAGGACTCGCCGACCGCCGGGCTCGTACACGTGCGGCGCACCGACGCGCCGCCGCTGCCCAGCCACGCCCCCGGGGAGGAGCCATCTTCCCGCCTCATGCCACGCCCCCGGGGCGGAGCCATCTTCCCGCCTCATGCCACGCCCCCGGGGCGGAGCCAGCTTCCCGCCTCATGCCACGCCCCCGGGGCGGAGCTCGCTTCCCTCCTTCAAGCCACGCCCGTTTCGTTGAGACCGGCTGGGGAGGGAGCCTCAACGCGCTAGCGCATTCACCCCTTGACCTAGGTGGGTCTTTAGATCTTTAAGACTTCCAAAACAGCGACTTATAGCAGCCTTATTATTGTGTTTAAATAAGCGTTTCAGCCACATAGTTGTGGTCCTTTATCATAATTATTAACGCATATTAATTGCACAAACTAATGGATTTCACTGTAACATTTCCATACATGCTTATGTCCTGCTTTGCTCTCCACACATTGTGACCTTTACTTGTTGCCCTGCTTCCCGCAGTTAACAATATTGAAAAGAGAATCACTTTAGGGATCTACCGCTCTACACAGGATTCCTTCAAATGTAGGGGATCCAAGAACCATATCCCTACCTCTTACCTTTCCGCTTGACAACTCCCCTGTAGGATTTTGCTTCAAGAAACTTGATCATCGCTACTGTATGATTCTTTTTAAAGAAAAATAAAATTCAGTTCTCTTCCAGTCTCAAATAGCACATACTTACGGACTAAATCCAAGCCTAATAGTTTTTCAAATCTATTACCTTGCCAAACTCGTAAGTGAAAAATCAATGTTGGGGCAGAGGGGAGAAATGACCCAAACAATGTATGCACATGTGAATAAATGAATAAAAAAGAAAGAAAGAAAGAAAAACCAATGTTATTTCAAATCCTTACATTTCTGTGAGGTTTGTTTTTCAAACACAGGTTTGGTGTAGAGATGCGATCAACTGAGACTGATAAATTTGCTCAGAATGGTTGCTTTCTAAGCTGCCTTCCAAGCTGCCTTCCATTGACATTTTTCACCTCAGTTACCTATCTCAATTTTTTTTCTGCCCTTAATTTTTTTTTCTTTTAGAAAGGGTCTCATTATATATCCCAGGCTAGCCTCAAACTCCAGATCCTCCTGCCTCAGCTTCCTGAGTGCTGGGATTACAGGTGTATGCTACGGCCTGCCTCTTTTCCTTAATTCTTGTACAATCCTATGTCCTTGAGCTATATTATAGTTCAGTTGATGTCCCAATGACAGCAAATGGAAATTTTTTTCCACAGGCACAGAGTAATGATTCAATCCTACACTCTTTTAAACTTTAAAAAGTATCTTCTTGCCAGGTGCCAGTGGCAAGCTACTTTAGGAGGCTGGGCAAACAGTTAACAAGACCCCATCTCTAAAATAACTACAGCAAAATAAACAAAAGGTGCATAGAGCACTCACATGATGGAGCAATAGAAGCGCTCTTTCATTGCTGGTGGCCATGCAAAATGGTACTTGTAGCAGGGAGGAGGACCAGAAAAGAAACAGGCAAGTTTGTGTTCTCATAATGTAGCAGGGGGAAGGGATGGCATACCAGAGAAATAAAACTTAAAGAATTAAAACATAAAAAAGGTAACAATGCACTGGGGGAATGAAATAGCCAATAAAGTCACATGCAACCATGTATGGGTTAAGCTTTGCTTTTTGCTTCTGTAACCTGCTTGCAAGGGTATATAAGGTGAGACCCCCTTTGGACACGAGTCCACTGAGTCTGTGCCGGCACAATAAAATGTTGCTTCCTGCTAAACTGCCTTAGCATCTGGCATATCAGCTTGAGATTCCTGCAACAGTACAGCTACTTTGGAAGACAGTTTGCAGTTTCTTTCAAAATTAAATATATTCTTAGCACATCCAGTGGTTTCAGTCCTTGTGACTTACTCAAAGGAACTGAAAACCTCAGTGCTCACAGAACCCCATATGTGAATGTTTATGAAGCTTTATTCATAATTGCCAAAACTTTCCAGGAAATGAGATATCTTTCAGTAGGTGAATAGGTATATATGGTGTATGCAGACAATGGAATGTTATTTAGCCTTAAAAATAAATGAGTTATCAAGCTGTGAACAGACACGGAAGAAACCATAAATGTGTAATACTAACTGAAAGAAACCAATTTGAAGAGGCCACAGACTATATGATTCCAACTATATGACATTCCAAAAGGAAAAACTATGGAGACAGTACAAAGATCAGTATTTTCCAGGGGTTAAGGTAGATGAAGAGGGGTGGGTGCTGGTGGCTCATTCCTGCAAATCCTAGCTACTCAGGAGGCAGAGATCAGGAGGATAGAGGCCCAAGGCCAGGCCATGCAAAAAGTTCATGAGTTGCATCTCGACTAGTAAAGTCTTGGTAGCACATCTCCCAAAGCCATGAGGGAAGCATAAATAGGAGGACAGAGGTCCAGACAGTTCTTGGCATAAAAAGAGACCCTATTTGAAAAATAACTAAAGCGGAAAGGGCCAAGGGCATGGCTCAAGTGGTAGAGTGTGCCTGCCTAGAAAGCAGGAGGCCCTGTGTTCAAACCCCAGTACTGCCCAAAAAAGAAAGAAAAAGAAGAATAGGCAGCTCAGAGGTAGTTACTGTTACCATATATAGCGGTGGACACATTTGTTCAAAACCACTGAACCTACAGCACTAAGAGTGAATCCTAATGTAAACTCTGGAATCTGGGTGATAATTATGTACTAATGTAAGTCTATCAATCACAACAAATTACCACCTTGGAGAAGGATATTGATGGTGAAGGGGATGTGCATGTGGAGGCAGGAGATAGATGGGAAATCTTGATTTTGCTGAAACCTAAAACTGCTCTAAAAAAATGAGGTCTTAAAAAAAAAAAAAAACTCTGAAATGGTGGCCAAATTCTCCATAAATGTGTTCAGAGGAAAGATTTTTCAAATTTGGCTGTTAGCTAGGTTCATGGTCAAAAGTTACCCTTTTCTCCCTTGTTTTTGGCAGTACTGGAGTTTGAATTCAGGGCCTCACATTTGCTAGGCAGGTGCTCTACCACTTGAGCCACTCTGCCAGCCCTGTTTTATATTGGGTATTTTTCAGGTAGGGGCTCCAAAACTATTTGCCCAGGCTGGCCTCGAACCTTGATCCGCCTGATCTGCTAGTGCTACAGGCATGGGTCACCAGTGCCTGGCAAAACTTATGCTTTTTGCATTTCAAATAAACTGCCTTAGATGCAGTACAAGTGAAACATGCATTTTTAGTTTTGTTTTCCAAAATGGGCAACTCTATATTGGCTCTTATGATTAAGACAATGCAGAAGTGTTCAAAAATCTCTTTTTACTGTAATTCCCTCTAAAACTTAACAGCTGAATTCTGTCAACTTTAAAATTCTGTATTATGCATAATATACAGTACCTGCTTTTAACTCCACACCAGCACTATGGCTTGCTAAGTGCTGATCATTTACCTCTTCTTTCATCTTTATGATTGCCTAGTATTCTGTTCATCTTAGATGACTTTTTCCACCCCTCAGACAGTTCCTGTGTTCCCTTGTTCAGTCATTGCAAACATTTCTGTCATTGAACCAAATTATTTATTTATTTACATTATTTATTTCCATATCTACTTCTTATACCAAAAAGTGAAATCTTCAGAGGCAAAAATTTAAATTTAGGGCCATCTCTCTTCTTCTTTAATTTTACATTTTTATTTATTTACTTTGCAGTATTGGATTGAACCCAGGAACTTATGCATGCCAGGCAAGTGCTCCACACTATAACTACAGCTATAACCCTATTAAAAATTTTTTTCTACTTAAATTTTTTTTATCACTATTATACATGCCTGTGATTTAGAGTCAAATAATTCTGCAAGGTTCGCAATGAAACAGCTGGGGCTATATCCCCATTTCCCCTGGACTCACCTGCTTCCACCTTTTCGAAGTCAGCCATTTCACTTCTTTAACCGATTATTCTGTTATTTACCATCATCTGTATATATAACATGCTTGCATTGCCATTTCTGAGTTTTCACTATAAGCATTTTCTAATGATTTTACTTAATGGGACATGAGGATTTAACTTTCCTCTCTCCATCTGCCTCATATGCTTATATTATACTTTCTTTGGATTTGTGTTTATTTCATTATAACTAGGTAGGTATTAGTCATCTTAGGCCAGAAGGAAATGATGATTTCGCATGTGTGTGTGTGTGTGTGTGTGTGTGTGTGTGTGTGTGTGTGTGTGGTGGTACTGGGGTTTGAATTCAGGGACTCAAGCTTGCAAGGTAGGTGCTCTAGCACTTGAGTCACTCCACCAGCCCTTTTTTGTGTTGGGTATTTTCTAGATAGAGTCTTGTGAACTATTTTCCCAGGCTGGCTTCAAAATTCCATCCTCCTGTTCTCTGCCTCACAAGTAACTAGGATTACAGGTGTGAGCTAGCAGGGCCCAGCCTTAATGATCATTTAAATCTCACTCTCCAGAGGCTGAGATGGAGGAAGTGTTGTAACAGTTTCATCTTTCTGAAGGGTTCTCTTCTAGAGCCTTCTGACCTGCACCAACCATGCTTAGTGCACACTTGTTGACAGAGCATCACTTCATTTGTCTCCTGTGTTTTATCTTCTGTTTCTTATGTCCTATGTGCTATGGTTTGAATGTCCCCACCAAAATTCATGTTGACATTTAGTCCCCATTGCCAAGTATTGTGAGGTGGGACTAGGAACTGGGAATATAGCTCAATAGTACAGTGCTTGCCTAGCATGCTTCAGGCACTTCGTTGGATTCCCAAAATACCGCCCCCCCCACACACACATACACACATAGAAAAGGTGAGACGAGGTAGGGACTTTAAGAGGTGATTTGGTCATGAGAACTCTGCCTCCTTGAATCTGTTAATCTATTAATGAATTAATGGGTTATCTGGAGAGAATGGGTCTGTTATCAAATCTAGCTTGGTTCTGTGTCTTGGATGAACCCTTTTATCCACCATGTGATGCTCTGTGCTGCTTTGGGAATCTGTGCTGTCCCCATCAAGAAAGCCTTCACCAAAATTTGCCCCTTGATTTGGAGGCCTTCCAGCTGCCATACTGAGCTAAATAAATCTTTATTCTTTATAAATTATCCAGTCTGTAGCAGTCAGTTATAGCATCGGAAAATGAACTAAGACAGTTTTCTTTTTTTTGTTTGTGATTACTTTCTAATTTTAAGGGAATACAACTTTCAGTAGTTTCTTGAGAAAGGAGAGGTAAATGAAAGGTCTATTTTTGAGGTTTTTTTGTGTGTGTGTGTGTGTGTGTGTGTGTGTGTGTGTGTCTTGCACTTAGGGCTTTGGGCTTGCTACGCAGGTGCTTTACCACTTGAGCCACACCCCCAGCCCTTTTGCTTTTAGTTATTTTTTGAATAGGGTCTCACATTTATGCCCAGACTGACCTGGACCATGATCCTCCTAGTTAAGCTTTCCACGGAACTGGAATTACAGGAATGCCTGCACAACTACACCCTGTCAGAATGACTTCCAACTGTGACCTTGTGGACCTCTGCCTCCCTAGTAGCTAGGATTATAGGTGAAAGTCACCTTACCTGGCTAATTTTTGAGATCTTGACTGACTGAACATATCTATATTCTAACCCCACACTTGATTGATAGTTTTCTAATCAAGTATAGAATTCTAGTGTTAAATAAATTTCTTTTTGCTATTTAGTGGAATTGTTCTCCTGTCTTCTAGCTTTCTTTGTTGCTGTTGAGAAATTTAAAAATATTCTGATTCTTAATTCTTTATAAGTGGCTAGTGTTTTTCCTTTGGAAGTCTTTCTGCCCCCAGTGCCCTGCAGTTTCACACTGATGAGCCTTGGAGTGGGCCAATTTTTACCAATTTTGCTAGACACTCAGTGGTGCATTTGAATTTGGAAACTCCTGATTTTCAGTTTGGGGAAGTTATCTTGAATTATTTTGCTGATGATCCCTCCTTCCCAATTCCTTCTAGCTTTCTTTCTTTTGGAATTTTAACTTTCCAGATATTGGCTCTCCTGAAATGGTCCTCTAATCTATTATTTTTTTCTCCTATTTTTTATTTCTTCATTTTGCTTTCTTCCCCTCCCCCCTTTTCTATTTATTTTCCAACATTTAGCTTTCGGCTCTTTGACTTTTCACTTCTGCTATTCTATTTTTTGTCTCTGATTGCTCTTTTTCTTACTAAATGCTGCAGTGGTAACTCATAACACAGAATATATATTTTGAGTTTTCCTTACTGAATGTTTTCTGTTTCCTTTAAGGATTGCTTGCTTTTTTTTTTTTTCTTTTCTTGTTTTGGTTTCTATGGTTCTACCTTCCATTGTTTATGAGGTTGTCAAACCCCAATTCTCTCCCTACCCCTTGCTGCTAACTCCTGTTCCTCTTCCCTGGCAAATAGCAGATGTTTGGGGGTAGAGGGGCTTCCCTGGGCGAAGTGCGTGAAGATGCTGAGTGCATCTTCAGCTCCCGAAACGTTTCCAATGCACTCTGCACCCTCCAGGTGGGAAATTGGCGGGTCATCGCCAGGGAATCTGACGAGCCTTAAAAGAAACATAGATACTGACGTTCATTGGAAATCTCCCAACTAAGCCGAACCAAATAACTCTACCTTGAAGCTTCAAGTCACCAAGCTCACTCACATTCATTCTCACGTGTGACTATTGTCTAATATATATATATATGTATATATAATTGATAATTAATATATAAAATGGCCCATATAGCTCATGTAGGGAGATCTCCAACCTCCATCATTAAGTGCTCCAGTGAAGATGGGGTGAATTCAAGTATGACATATTTCATATATTGTAAGAACATCTGTAAATGCCACAATGTATCCCTACCCAGCACAACAATAAAAAGAAAAAGGAAAAGAAAGAGCAAGTTAAAAAAAAAAAGGAAAGAAAAAGAGCTCCAGTGAAGCGGAGGAGCTGGGCTCAACGCCCCGCTCCCACCGCGCTAGGAAGCCTGGACGCGCCGGGCCGGCAGGGGGAGCCGCAGCGCAGGCGGGCGCCGGTGCCGGCGCGGGCGCGCCTCTCTGGGACAAGAGGACGGAACCAGCGAGACGGCGACAGGAAGTCGAGGTGGCTCTCAATCCCGCTGCCACGGAGTCTGCCGCTTGCCGGAGCCGAAAACTGCAGGCCACGCTGGCTGCGCATGGAGCCGAGGACTCGCGCGGATGCAGGATGCTCCGGGTTGGCGAGATCGGCGAGGCGCCGGCAGCCCGGGTGAGGTGGTCCTGGCGACCCGGGGAGGGGACACTGGTGGTCCAGTGAGGCGGTACAGACCTCTCGGAGGAGATTGTCCCCTCGAGGTGACCCTGGAAGCTTGAGAAAGTGATTCCCGTGGCTCGAGATAGAGATAGGTCCTTGGAGGACCTCCCAGGGGAAGTTGTTCTAGTGAAATAGCTCCGGTGGTTCCGGTGAGATGACGGGTCTTTCTGGAGAGGTGGCATAGACCTCCTGGAAGGTGTCAGTGATGGCACCAAGGAGGCGATCCTCTTTGGAACCTGCATCAGATAGCCCTGGCCCCTCAGGAATGTCGTACCACTCCGTTCTTCATGAGGTGCCCTTTGGGAGCCCTCTATGAGTGTCATCTACTACGTCAGGCTTAATTTGTTTGTCACGTCTGTTTTCCTTTTAGTGCTGCTCTGAAAGTGGTGACGAAAGGAAGAACATCCAGGAGAAAAGTAAGCAGGCTCCAAACACCTTAGCTCTTTCTGCCTAGCCATCCCTCCTAAACAGGGTCTGCCACAGAGAAACTTTCTTAGCCTGCTACCTTTTAGATGAAGCATCTCTTTCTGTACAGTATCCTTTAGAGTAATAAATATTATCATTATGCATGGATTTTTGTGTTTCTGAGATTGTTCAATATGGGATGCTGTGGAGAAGAACACTTCCTGCCCTCTATCTAGTACAGGGACTGGAGTTTTCTGCCATCAGACTGTTTCGGAATAACTGGGACCTGCCTGTCACTTTAATGAAGCATCACCTTATTAAACATCAGGAATTTGGAAGGGCTGATGATAATTTATGAGACATGATCACCACCTTTTCTTCTTCTTCTTCTTTTTTGATTTGTTTTGAGACAGGGACTTGTTATGTAACCTGAGCTGGCCTCCAACTCCTGATCTTCCTGCCTCAGCCTCTCAAGTGCTGAGAGCACAGGTGTGCACCATGACGCACAGCTAGACTACCACCTTAATTGGGCTCAAGGAGGAAAGTGATAACTGTTTAGTTGTACTTTTACCTTCAGTGCACTTGCAGTTAAAAATTAGTCTGGGAAGAGCAAAGCGGGTACCTTGGTCCTGGATCTTGGACTGGACGGGGAAGGGGGAAAGGTCAGTATCTCCATTTCCTACCCATGACAGGAGCATATGTCAGAGTGTGGAATTTGCTGTTTTACTTTAATGAGCTAAGAATGCTCATGCTCAGAATGGCAAGTTATTGGAAATCCAGGACTCCTTTGGGGCTTTGAAGTGATTTTTTTGGGGGGTGGGGGTGAAGAGAAGAAAGGAAAAAGCACATGATAGCTTGTTTATGGAGTCGGGTGCTGGTTGCTCATGCCTGTAATCCTAGCTACTTGGGAGGCTGAGATCAGGAGGATCACAGTTTGAGGCCAGCCTGGGCAAATAATTAGTAAGATGCCTCCCCCATCTCCAAAATAACCAGAAGCAAAATGGACTGGAGGTGCGGCTCAAATGGTAGAGTGCCTACTTTACAAGTGTGAAGTCCTGAGTTCAGTGTGAAACCACAGTTCAACTGTGGGTTGAAGGTTAACTCTTCTGACCATGGCAAACAGTCTGGAAAAAAGCAGTGGTAAGAGAAAGGGTGCCCACATTAGCATGTGACCATAGGAGTGAGGCTTGCCCTTGACATTGGCTACTGATTCTTTCTCCTCAGAAGGAAAGCTCCACTGACACTCATAGCTGCCACACTCAGCTCCTTTTCCTTGAAGAAGTTGAGAGTACTCCTCCCTTTAGCCTTTGCCCTTTAGATGCCTGGGAACTCTTAATACCCTACTGATCTGTCATTTTAGTAAAATAATAGATGCACAGTTTGTCCTTCTCCCTTCAGTGGCCCAGTCAACTGTTTTGCAGTTAATAGTGCTCTTTACAGAAAATAGAAGAGGAGAGACATAATCTGCTAAATCACCAATGTGTCATTTTAAAAAATGTCATTTGATTAAGAATGTACTATGTCAGTTTAGCCAGGTGCTCACACCTGTAATCCTAGCTATTCAGGAGGCAGAAATCAGGAGGATTGGAGTAAAGCCATCCAGGCAAATAGTTCATGAGACCCTATCTCAAAAAACCTTTCACAAAAATAAGACGGTAGAGTGGCTTAAGGTGAAGGCCCTGAGTTCAAACTCCAGTACCGCAAAAAAAAAAAAAAAAAGTACTATGCCATTTTAAACATTACTCGTAAAGGATGCAATTTTTTTTAAGTGAAGGAAGGTGGGCATGGTGAGGTGGTAGTTTGAACAAGACCTTGTCTCAAAAAAAAAAAGGTAGAATTGACTCCTGAAATACAGCAAGCTTGAGCATTTATAAATCACTTCCTGGGCTAGCAGAGTGTCTCAAGTGGTAAAATGCCTGCTTTGCAAGCATGAGGCCCTGAGTTCAAACCCCGTATGGCCAAACAAACAAACAAAAAAATCATTTCCTGCCTTCAGATATACCACACAATTCATTTATGATAAATTAAAAAAGATATTGAGTTCAGTACATAATAATAGATTTGTTATAAATTTAATATGTAATAATTATGTGTCAGATTGGGAGAGTAGCTTAAGTGGTAGAGCACCTGCTTAGCAAGGGTGAGGCCCTGAGTTTGAACTCCATTTTACTGTTTCTTTGAGTTCTGTTTTGTTCTGCATATACTTGACCTTATGTGGTATTTTTCTGTGCCTGGTTTATTTGATTTATCATTATTGCTTCTCCATGTTCATCCATGTTGTCACAAGTGACAGGATTTCCTTTATAAAGGCTGAATAGTATTCTATTTTGTATATATATACCACATTTTCTTTACTTACTCATCTACTGATAAGACATTGAAGGCTGAGGATGTGAGGGCGATCTGGCTGCGACATCTGTCACCCCATTGATCGCCAGGGTTGATTCGGCTGATCTGGCTGGCTAGGCGGGTGTCCCTTCCTCCCTCACCACTCCATGTGCGTCCCTCCCGAAGCTGCATGCTTGGTTGAAGAGTACGACCATTCCTGAAAGAGGAGGACCGTTCTTTGTTCAAGGGTATACGAGTAGCTGCGCTCCCCTGCTAGAACCTCCAAACAAGCTCTCAAGACATTTAAGGCTGATTCTATCTATATCTTGGCTGTTGTGAATCATGCTGTAATGAACATAGGAGTACAGGAGTCTTTCACGTGTGATTTCCTTTGACTATATCCCTAGTAGTGGGATTGTTAGATCATATGGTAGTACTTTTTTTAACTTTTTTTTTCTTTGTGATGCTGGAGTTTGAACTCAGGGCCTATACTCTGAGCCACTCCACCAGGCCTTTTTTTTGTGATGGGTTTTTTGAGATAGGGTCATGCAAACTATTTGCCCAGGCTGACTTTGAATTGCGATCCTTCTGATCCCTGCCTCCTGAATAGCTAGGATTATAGATGTGAGCCACTGGAGCCTGGCTAGGCATGCCTTTATTTAGATCTGAAGTGACAGTGGTTAGTAATGAGGCTGATTATACCCTTTCTCTCATTGCTGTTTTCTTAAAACTGCATTTTTGGTAACAAGCCAAGTTCTGTAAGAGACACCTCCAAGAAAGAGGTGAATTCTAGTCAGTATTGCTCCCCACTAAGCTCTGTATTGTCCTCCCAGCTTTTTCCCTCATCTACACACCTTTTTTTTAATCCTTAGGAACTTCTCAAATCTAGGGATTTTAATTCCTCCATGTGGAATCATCAAGTTGTGCAGGGAGTAGAACTGAGCATCGTGAATGACTACACAGTGAAATGGAGCTACCATTATACCACGTTTAACCCAAACTGCAGATTTCCTAAATTTGCCCAGGAAGAAGGAAATCATGAGTGATAATAGGATAGCTTATGTATGGAAACAGATCCTTCAAGAGAAACAGTTTATCTCAGTACACTGGGGTAGAGTGGGAGAAGAGCATGGCAGGCAACCAGGGGTCATGTCATCCCTCATCTGGTTACCAAGAAGCTACAGTGAACCTCCAGGTTTCGCTGAGTTGCAGGGTGCAGTTCAGAAAGCCTCCTTGGCACAGGTAATCAGCAAAGTATAGCTAGAGATACCTGGAAGAGAGGAGAGTGCTAGCGTTCCACAAAGTTAGGACAGCAGAAAATAATTTAATTCCTTTGGAATTAGATTATATATTTACTAAAAAAATATGTTAAGTATTTTGCTTAAACAAAAGTTGGAAAATTTTTATTCTTATATTTGATTTTTGCTTCACTGCACCAAGAATTAGAGGTAACTTAATGTCTTAATAAACATCCTGAATAATAGAAGAAGGTAGACTCTGCAGAGTGAAAAACTGATTTGTAAAACAAGATATGATCAATTTTCATAGAATTTTCACAGAATAAAGAGTACACTCTTGGGCTGTAGGTGTGTCTGAAGTGGTAAAGCACCTGCTTTGCAAGTGTGAATCCCTGAGTTCAAATCCCAGTCCCACCCTCCAGAAAAAGTACACTGGGAAATTTCATTTGTGAAATGGGATGAGATCAAAGCTACACAGTGTTCTTGCTTTCACTAGGCATTGTTTGCTCTGTTTTAATAAATGTCCAGTAATTGTTGCCTGTGTTATCACTCTTCTCAAGAAGTGGCCTCGAGGTTCCAAGTCTCCTGTTGTTGTTTTTGCCACATTTAGTAAAGCCACTGTGAATTGGGCTAAGTCTGACTTGTTTGCCATGGAAACAATTTCACTTGGACTGTACAGATTAGTGGTTATATTCCCCTCGTCCCCCTACTCTCCCATAATTCGTATTTTTTCCATGTTTCCTTATTTTTTTGTGGTACTAGAGATTGAACCCAGTGCCTCATGCTTGCTAGGCAAGTGCTGTACCACCTGAGCCATGCCCCTTGCCCTCTATAAGGAGCTTTTATTCATCTGTCACCTTTTCAGAGTTTTTCCATAAATAGAAATCTACTTATACTGTTTTAATATGTTAAAGCCAGAGAACTCCTTTGGTATTATTCGAGATAAGACCTTTGTCTTTTACAAAGTTTGAAAAGGTATTAGGCATTGTCATGCAGTGTCTGTTGGAACCTCTGGTTACTAGGTCAGACTTACGGAATTTTTTCTTCACTCTGAGTCTTCTCAGCTCTTAAACATTGTATAGTTGCATAGTTGATGGACTGCTTTGTAGCTATTCATTTGGTTCTGTGTATCTATATAAATAAACATATCTATCTATAGTGTGTGTATATATTCTTTAAATTATCTACTTTTTTTTGTGGTATTGGAATTGAACCCTGGGACTGTGCATGTAAGTCATGTTCTCTAACCATTGAGCTACATCTCTAACCCTCAATTGTTAACTTTTAAAGGTGAATAAATTGCCTTGTATATCTTTTATATTTCCTTTAACTCCATAGTACTTGGTGTTGATAGGTGCTATTCTTTTATTTTAGGTGGCATAAATATTGCTGCTCTTGTTGGAAATGAACAAGTCAGTGAAGGTACAGATAATGGTGATCTTTCTTCTTATGTGTCTGCGTTCATTGAAAAGGAAGTTGGAAATGACCTTAAATCTTTAAAGAAACTTGATAAACTCATAGAACAAATGACAGGAAGTAAAATGCAGTTAGAAGAACAGGTAAGTATTAAAACTCAATGAAATAATAACGGTAGTATATTCATTATAAGTAATAGAGTATATATAATCACTATTATGCAGAATTTTAAAGATACAGAGTATGACAAATAATCTTATTTAGCTGTGTTGTAACAGGCTTTAAGGTCCTACAATTTCCTATGTATTTTACAAATTATTGAAAAGACAAAGTTCCTACTGATTTGTATCTTGAAAACGTAATGATAGGTAACATTTTATATGTTTTTCATGGAATAACTTCTAAAGTGCTTTTATGAGTAAGTAATTTCATAGTATACAAAGGTGTTTAAACACCTTTATTCCAGATTTCTATAAATACACACCCAGAAAGGAAACATGGTAAGAAGTATAATATTATGACAATGATTATTTGAGGGCAGTTGGTTGAATGATGACTTAATTTCTTCATATTTTTATGTATTTTCAGGGTTTTTCTTTTTCTAACGAACATACTACTTAAAATTTAAGATCCCAATGAAAATAATTCTTGAGCCAAAGATAAGTGGTTCTCATTAGTTGCAATAGTCTGTTGTCACAGATAAAAGATTTGTATTGTGTAAGTACTAAATTAGGTTAAGTTTGTTATCTTCAGGTCATCAGTCATCTTATGTTCTTATGGCTCTTCCCATCACCTTGGACCTCCACAATTTTCTGTCTTTCCACTTTACCTACTACTAGTCTTTGTTTAGCCTGGCTGGCTCAGCCTTTTTCACTCCTAGAAGGCCTAGTTGGAGACTATCACACAGCCTAGTGAATTGATGCCAGCCCAATGTGTGAGTGTGTCTGTCTTCAGCCATACCCACAGTCTTCCCCTAGTTGTCCTTCCAAATTCTCCCCAAGACATCTACCTGACCTGGCCATTCTGCCCTTTCCTTTTTCTGAACAGAAAAAGTTGAGTCTATCTAGTACAAATCTATTAAACAGTCTTCCCCACATTCCTAAACTTATTTATTTTTGATTTAACTTTTATTTTCAAACTTATTTGTAACCATTTTTACTTCTTAATTGAGCCATTTTTACTTCTTAATTGAGCAGAGGCTCAATCTAAGGCAGTCCTTGTGCCCCAGATCCTTCCTGCCTCCACAGTGAACTTGCTTTACTCTTAGAGTTTCATCCTTTGCTCATCAACGAGTCCTGTCTTCTCAAGGATGGACACACGTAGGTCTTTGTTGTAAAACCTAAACAAACAAAGAAGAACACCTTCGTTTCATCTTTTAGTAGATGTTTGTTCTTTTCTTTGACTATCTGGCTTCTTGAAAAGTGATTTTTGAGCTGGGTGTGGTAGTGTACACCTGTCATCCCAGCATTTGGGAGACTGAGGCAGGAGGATCATGAATTCCAGGCCAACCTCACATAGTGAAACCCTGTCTCAAGAAAATAAAAATATAAAATGAAATAAGAATATGTTTTCAAAAAAGTCATCTTTGTTATCTGTCTCTGCTTTCTAATTTGCCATTTGCTCTTTGACCTCTGTAATCAGTCTTTCCCCCAGTGACCATAGAAACTGTTGCTGAAATCCCTCATTGAATCTGAAACTCATCATGTCCTGATCAGTTTGTAATGATCAGTTTCTTTTTTTTTTTTTTTTTCATTTTTCTTTTATTATTCATATGTGCATACAAGGCTTGGTTCATTTCTCCCCCCTGCCCCCACCCCCTCCCTTACCACCCACTCCCCCCTCCCCTCCCCCCCTCAATACCCAGCAGAAACTATTTTGCCCTTATCTCTAATTTTGTTGTAGAGAGAGTATAAGCAATAATAGGAAGGAACAAGGGGTTTTGCTGGTTGAGATAAGGATAGCTATACAGGGCATTGACTCACATTGATTTCCTGTGCGTGGGTGTTACCTTCTAGGTTAATTCTTTTTGATCTAACCTTTTCTCTAGTTCCTGGTCCCCTTTTCCTATTGGCCTCAGTTGCTTTAAGGTATCTGCTTTAGTTTCTCTGCGTTAAGGGCAACAAATGCTAGCTAGTTTTTTAGGTGTCTTACCTATCCTCACCCCTCCCTTGTGTGCTCTCGCTTTTATCATGTGCTCATAGTCCAATCCCCTTGTTGTGTTTGCCCTTGATCTAATGTCCACATATGAGGGAGAACATACGATTTTTGGTCTTTTGGGCCAGGCTAACCTCACTCAGAATGATGTTCTCCAATTCCATCCATTTACCAGCGAATGATAACATTTCGTTCTTCTTCATGGCTGCATAAAATTCCATTGTGTATAGATACCACATTTTCTTAATCCATTCGTCAGTGGTGGGGCATCTTGGCTGTTTCCATAACTTGGCTATTGTGAATAGTGCCGCAATAAACATGGATGTGCAGGTGCCTCTGGAGTAACAGTCTTTTGGGTATATCCCCAAGAGTGGTATTGCTGGATCAAATGGTAGATCGATGTCCAGCTTTTTAAGTAGCCTCCAAATTTTTTTCCAGAGTGGTTGTACTAGTCTACATTCCCACCAACAGTGTAAGAGGGTTCCTTTTTCCCCGCATCCTCGCCAACACCTGTTGTTGGTGGTGTTGCTGATGATGGCTATTCTAACAGGGGTGAGGTGGAATCTTAGTGTGGTTTTAATTTGCATTTCCTTTATTGCTAGAGATGGTGAGCATTTTTTCATGTGTTTTTGGCCATTTGAATTTCTTCTTTTGAGAAAGTTCTGTTTAGTTCACTGCCCATTTCTTTATTGGTTCATTAGTTTTGGGAGAATTTAGTTTTTTAAGTTCCCTGTATATTCTGGTTATCAGTCCTTTGTCTGATGTATAGTTGGCAAATATTTTCTCCCACTCTGTGGGTGTTCTCTTCAGTTTAGAGACCATTTCTTTTGATGAACAGAAGCTTTTTAGTTTTATGAGGTCCCATTTATCTATGCTATCTCTTAGTTGCTGTGCTGCTGGGGTTTCATTGAGAAAGTTCTTACCTATACCTACTAACTCCAGAGTATTTCCTACTCTTTCTGTATCAACTTAAGAGTTTGGGTCTGATATTAAGATCCTTGATCCATTTTGAGTTAATCTTGGTATAGGGTGATATACATGGATCTAGTTTCAGTTTTTTGCAGACTGCTAACCAGTTTTCCCAGCAGTTTTTGTTGAAGAGGCTGCTATTTCTCCATCGTATATTTTTAGCTCCTTTGTCAAAGATAAGTTGCTTATAGTTGTGTGGCTTCATATCTGGTCCTCTATTCTGTTCCACTGGTCTTCATGTCTGTTTTTGTGCCAGTACCATGCTGTTTTTATTGTTATTGCTTTGTAATATAGTTTGAAGTCAGGTATTGTGATACCTCCTGCATTGTTCTTTTGACTGAGTATTGCCTTGGCTATTCGTGGCCTCTTGTGTTTCCATATAAATTTAACAGTAGATTTTTCAATCTCTTTAATGAATGTCATTGGAATTTTGATGGGAATTGCATTAAACATGTAGATTACTTTTGGGAGTATCGACATTTTTACTATGTTGATTCTACCAATCCATGAGCATGGGAGATCTCTCCACTTTCTATAGTCTTCCTCAATCTCTTTCTTCAGAAGTGTATAGTTTTCCTTGTAGAGGTCTTTCACATCTTTTGTTAGGTTTACACCTAGGTATTTGATTTTTTTGAGGCTATTGTAAATGGAATTGTTTTCATACATTCTTTTTCCGTTTGCTCATTGTTAGTGTATAGAAATGCTAATGATTTTTCTATGTTGATTTTATATCCTGCTACCTTGCTATAGCTATTGATGATGTCTAGAAGCTTCTGAGTAGAGTTTTTTGGGTCTTTAAGGTATAGGATCATGTCGTCTGCAAATAGGGATATTTTGACAGTTTCTTTACCTATTTGTATTCCTTTTATTCCTTCTTCTTGCCTAATTGCTCTGGCTAGGAATTCCAGTACTATGTTGAATAGGAGTGGAGATAGTGGGCATCCTTGTCTGGTTCCTGATTTTAGAGGGAATGGTTTTAGTTTTTCTCCGTTAAGTATAATGCTGGCTGTAGGTTTGTCATATATAGCTTTTATAATGTTGAGGAACTTTCCTTCTATTCCTAGTTTTCTTAGAGCTTTTATCATGAAATGATGTTGGATCTGGATCTAAGGCAAAGGCTTCTGCATCTATTGAGATGATCAAGTGGTTTTTGTCTTTGCTTCTGTTAATGTGGTTTATTACGTTTATTGATTTTCGTATGTTGAACCACCCCTGCATCCCTGGGATGAAGCCTACTTGGTCGTGGTGAATAATCTTTTTGATGTGTTGCTGAATTCGGTTTGCCATTATTTTGTTGAGGATTTTTGCATCAATGTTCATTAAGGAGATTGGCCTATAGTTCTCCTTTTTGGAGGTGTCTTTGCCTGGTTTTGGGATAAGTGTAATACTGGCTTCATAAAATGTGTTTGGCAGTTTTCCTTCCCTTTCTATTTCATGGAACAGTTTAAGGAGGGTTGGTATCAGTTCTTCTTTAAAGGTCTGATAGAATTCAGCAGAGAATCCATCAGGTCCTGGACTTTTCTTTTTGGGGAGACTCTTGATTGCTGCTTCAATTTCATTTTGTGTTATAGGTCTATTCAGGTGATTAATTTCCTCTTGGTTCAGTTTTGGATGATCATATGTATCTAGAAATCTGTCCATTTCTTTTAGATTTTCAAATTTATTTGAATATAGGTTCTCAAAGTAGTCTCTGATGATTTCCTGGACTTCCATGGTGTTTGTTGTTATCTCCCCTTTTGCATTCCTGATTCTACTAATTTGGGTTTTTTCTCTCCTCATTTTAGTCAGGTTTGCCAGGGGTCTATCGATCTTGTTTATTTTTTCAAAGAACCAACTTTTTGTTTCATTAATTCTTTGTATGGTTTTTTTGGTTTCTATTTCGTTGATTTCAGCTCTTATTTTTATTATTTCTCTCCTTCTATTTGTTTTGGGATTTGCTTGTTCTTGTTTTTCTAGGAGTTTGAGATGTATCATTAGGTCATTGATTTGGGATCTTTCAATCTTTTTAATATATGCACTC